TTTATACTTTTGTGATTGCAATGTTACTTTTTTTTCTCCCTTTTTCTTTTTCCATTTTCAATCAGTTACGGGTTTTTTAAGAATTTAATGCATATATTCATTGGACTGGGCCCACCCTTTTAAAAAAGGAAACTCTTAATTATCCACTTTTGAGCGACGGCGGCCCGCAGGAGGTTTCGGGCGGGACACGTGTGCATGAAACACGTCACACGTGGAAGTAAAAATACGCCACGTGTTTTCATCCAGCAACAAGAAGGCGACGCGAAAAGGGGTTTCTCTTTTTTTACCGGCGTAATAAGTTTTCTAGATCCGCCTGCTCTGATTGGTGATGCGGGACACGTGTTAATATGTCATTGATGTGGCGTACGGATGACATACAACATAGATGTGACAACATTAGAAAAGTGATTAATTGCGTACAAGCCCATGTACTATTGCCCAGTTGCAAATAGTCCCCATGTTAGTGTAAGATAAAACTCACAAACTATTTGTCAAAGCGGACACCTAAGGTGCTGTTTGGTTGGCCTAGAAACTAGGAAAAAGAAATTAAAACACCTGACACATTCATGTAAATGTTTTTTTGTTTTATTTTCTTGTGTTTGGTTGAGAGAGGAAAAAAAAAATAGATGTTGTGCATGTGAGACCCACCCACTAGTAAGATAATAGTGCGATGAGTCTCAAATTTAAGGAAACGCATTTCCTCCCAAAAAAATTATAAAATAAGCTCATTATCTTTGAAAAATATAACTTTTAAAACTTAATACACCAAAAAAGAATTTAATTAGCAAAATAGACCATTTTTGCTAAAAGTTAGTCTATTTTGCTAAGGACAAATCTTTGAAAAAGACCACTTTTAAGACTTTATTAGCAAAATAGACCATCTCTTTTTTTTTGCTAAAAGTTGGTCTATTTTGCTAATTAAATGTCAAATTTGGTCTATTTCAAAATTTTATCAATTTCAAAACTATTTTGTTCATAAAAATTATAAACATGATTATATATATATATATATATACTATATATTATTATTATATATATATATTATATATATATACTATTATATATATATATATATATTGTGAAGAAAGTTACATTATTTATGCGCAATATAGATTTTTATTTAATTTTTAAAAGTATAAGGTTTTAAAAACGACTTGGAGTAAATATTAGTTGTGGCATCGTTCTCTTGTAGCGAAATGTGTTGTGTTGTAGCTTAACAAATGTAAATGATATACGTTACCTTGAATATAAATGAATTTTCCATTGTCATTAACAATATTTGTTGAAATTATAACTATAGTTGAATTTTATGCATTTCAATAGGAGCCAGCATTAACTTCAAATAAGAAAAAAATAATAATAAAAAAATAAGAGTGTACACCCACAATATAAAAATTGCCATGAAATTTTACATTGTCATTACTGATAGTTTTGAAATCTTATAACTAATAGTTGATTTTTTTATATGTATTATATTAATATATGTATAATGATATGTATATATAGAAATATATAATAGTATATAATAATATGTATATATCATATTTTTATATATGTATATATATTAGATATATATATATATATATATATATATATACTTATAAGTATATGATATATATATCTATATATATATATATAGTTATTATAGCTATATATATATATATATATATATATAGGGAGAGGTTCAAATAAAAACCTCACTATCCTAAAAACTAAAAACCAATCATCTCCATTGGATCTAGATTCATCCAATGGCTGAGATTAAAGCTGCATAAGGGTAATAAGGTAAAATAAACAACCCACTAAAGAGAGGTAATTAATGCTTCTGGTTGAGTTATCCATTTTTCCATGCAACTCTCTCCTCTCACGTTCTCCTCTCTCTCTCTCCTCCATTTCCCAAAAGCTTGAACCAGCCCCCTCTCTCTTCCTCTCTCTCACCATCACAAACACCACCAACTCCTCACCGAGCTCCTCCAACTCCATTGCCCCTGAGCTCCCTCCGACACCCTGAGAACCACCAGCACCCAACGTCGTTCACCGCTCATCGCCCACAGCCTTCCTCGCTGCCCTCTGACGAACCGACGCCCCTCCCTCAGACCCGACGCCGTCAACCTCCTCTCCATCTCCTTCGCCACCTTCAAACAACCCAGATCTGAGCTCCTCCACCCCCTGCCACCTCGCCGTCATCCACCTCCGACGACGCCAACGCCGAACCCGTATTTTAACCTTAAAGATCGTAGCTGTTTGTTGTAAAAGGTAAAATATTTCACCTTTTAGTCTGAAAAGTTTTTTGTTTTTTGAGGAAACCAGTTGAAAAACGAAGACACGCATAAGTGAATCTCGATTCACAGAAGTGAATCCAGATTCAGTATGTGAGGTGTTTGTTTTTTACCATAAAAATCGTATTTTTTTGTTGTAAAAGGTAAAATCTTTTCATGGTTTAAAAATTTATAGCTTGTTTTTTACCATAAGTTAAATCTTTTCATGGTTTAAAAATTTATAGCTTGTTTTTTACCATAAGTTTCTTATTCTTTTTGTTTAAAATTTTATAGCTTGTTTTTTACCATAAGTTTCTTATTCTTCAATATAATCCAGATTCAATGGAGTGAATCCAGATTCAATGGAGTGAATCCAGATTCACTGGAGTGAATCCAAATTCACTCCAGCGAAAAGCTTGGATGGTTAGGATGGTTTTTAATAAATTGTTGAAGAAATAAATGTATGTGCTCTAATTTCGAAGAAATAAACGCATGAGTGAATCTAGATTCACTGCAGTGAATCCAGATTCAGTTATGTGAGGTGTTTGTTCTTTACCATAAAAATCGTAGTTTTTTGCTGTAAAATGTGAAATCTTATCATGGTTTAAAATTTTATAGCTTTTTTTTACCATAAGTTTCTTATTCTTTTTATTTTTTATTTTTGCAGATTTGCTATTGTTTGATAACGAGTTTCAGTTCACTGAATCTGGATTCAATTCAGTGAATCTGATTCAATTCAGTGAATCTGGATTCACTGTAATGAATCGAGCTTCAATATAATCCAGATTCAATGGAGTGAATCCAGATTCACTGGAGTGAATCCAGATTCACTCCAGCGAAAGCTTGGATGGTTAGGATCATTTTTAATGAATTGTTGTTGTGTTCTTCATGCGAAAATGGAAGATCAAAGCTTGATAGAAGATGGAAGTGAGTTACAGAGAGCGGGAAGTGAGTTAGAGAGAGAAATGGGGAAGTGAAAGGACGTGGCACGTTGATAGTAAGAGAGAGTATTAAAGAACGTGTTGTATTTTTTGTTTTAATCATTATCTTCAGTTTCCGATGTTGCCAGCCACCATTAATGTAGTATATATATATATATATATATATGAGATTAATGGGTATCATTGTCATAGGAGGGGATTTCCTCCTTGACTCCTATATGGCACAATCCCCATCATCCTTATAAAGTAGGAGAGAGAGTGTGTGAGTTGGTGGGGATTTGTGCCTACTTTATGATGATGGTGGAGATTGTGCCACATAGGCGATAAGGATTCACTTAGGGGTTGTTTGGTGGTTGTTGGTAAAGTTGTGTATTTATGACACAACTTGGAAAGTTGTTGTCCACCTCATCAATTTCATCATCAATTTTACTTTTATACTTTTCTTTGTTTGTTTTTTATTCCATTGGAATCATAAATTGCTTGTTTGGTTTGCAAATGTAACTTTAATTGTTTGTTTGGAAAGTGTAAAAAGTGATCCCTACTCAAATGATCATATTAGTTGGAATTATTTTTTATTAATTTTTTCTAACTTTAATGTCAGCTCTCTCCTAAAATCATGTCTTTTTTTATGAAATCACTTTACAAGTCACAGCAGCATATGAAATCACTTTACACTATTTTCACAACTACAAACAAACAATTGAAAGTGATGAAAGCTGACATTGGGACCCACTTTTTTACACTTTACATCCTTTTACATGGTAAAAACATACAACCAAACAGCCCCTTACATATATATAGGAGAAATATTCCTAAGGTGACGTCTTAGATAATCATCTAAGTACGCGGCCTAAAATCACATGATTGAGCTACATTGTGGATGATCCGATCCATTGACATTGATCTACATATTTTAAAACCCCAACACGTCAAGTTTGGGGTGAACCCGTCGTCGTTTGACCCTTTATCCACTCGTATCAATTTTAACGATCTCGAATGAATAGAACTTTTTACATGGCTCAACCCACCTCTCCGAACCATCGCTAGCATATGAGAAAGTAGCACATCTATATTTGTAGGCAAATTGGGCTCGGTTGGAGCGCATGCATAAGTAATCTGCGCGACAAGCATGACTAACATAAGAGGAGTCGAACCTCTTGAAGAGAGCCCAGCTTTCGCAAAAGTGTCCGAGAGGCGATGTGGGTGAGCGATCGACTCTGTGTAGACGTCAGCTAGGAACTCAAGACGATCAGATAAAAGTACAATATCGTTCCGGCTAAGTTCTCTTCATTATGCTGGACCTTTTATATAGTTTCCATGGATATGGTTTGAAGTTAATCTAACTATGTTCAATTTTCTTCGTGCATTTAAATATGTGCTTGATTATTTAATGTCACGGTCATAACCTAAGATCCAGAGGTGGATATTGTCATCTCTACACTTGATTATTTAACCTTTATTTGGATATCGCTGTTTGGCAACTAGCTATACGGTCTGCATCCAACTATCCAGTGTGGCAGTTTGCACCGCATATAAACTTTTTATGGGAAGGAGAACCACTAGGTTCTAGTAAGTAACGGCAAGTATACTGAAATGTTTCGTTTAAAAATACCCCCTTGCATGTTGCTCAAATATCCCCTCAACCTCAAGTGTCGCAAAATAAAGACATGAATCATTCCCACAATCTAATCCAATATAAGGGACTTACCATCCACAAACATTGAAAAGTATGAGTAAATATGAAAGAACTAGAGGTAAAAACCATATGTCATATAAATTCTGCAAGAAACATCAACGACAATAATTAGCATATGCAAGTAAATAGATGAGACATTTTTCTAATAATCGGTATAAACAATAGTACGCCGTGGAAATTTTTTCTTACTCGCACAATTAAGTGAACAAAAAGAAAAGAAAAAAAAACAAAGAAAAAAAACATAATAACTAGCCTTCTCAAATTTTTAAACCCATTCTCCAGAGCAATACTTCATCAAAGAGCATAACTGAAAGGAGTGACACAATAAAAGGAATGACGCACACAAAGAGATAGAAATCTCGAGGAGCTCTTCAAATTGACGGGTATATACTACTCTCAAATCAGGCCAGCCTCAATGAGATTTCGCCTTCTCAATGTTTCATCGACAAGTTTGAAAGTTTTCTTTACAACCTTCTGATCCAAGGCAGTTGTTCTATAGATTTTGAATACTTGATCAACACGATCAGGCCTGGTGCTTTGAAAGTAAAGCTCCTCAAATTTCTTTTTCACGAACCTGTAATAAAATAAGCTCGGTTGTTATGCTCTATATATATTGACAAAGAAAGACAATAGGAGAGGGACTATTTTACATTTGGTTGTTAGAATACAAAAATATAACCCGAATCATAACTTCGTAGTTTTGATGAAGTGGCAGGATCCTTTGACATGGTATCAAAGCAACTCAAGCTTCAAATCTTCCTGATCACGAATTTCTAAATGGATTTTTAAAAAATTAATATTGTTGTGCTAGTCCAGGTCATAAAAAAGGGTGTTCTGCCTACAGTGCCATGTGAGAATATAAAAATATAACCCCAACTCTTACAACTACAGAGTTTTGGGGTAGCGTCAGGGCCCTTTAACATGGGGTTTCCTATATTACTATTATTCCCTTAAATCTTTAATATTTTGAAATTAGTCTGTCAAATTATTGTAACTGTTGTTAGGCCCTAGGTCTTACATTTTGCTACGGCTACTTTGATTGGAGACATTAATTTGAAACAACTTATAAGAACTTTGGGACCTAGTAGCAATTTCAATGATTTGAGAGGTTTACTTTGAAACTGTGAAACTTGTGCTTGTGTGTGCACTATAAACCTATGGTGTTGGTGAATTGGTGATATTTAAATATAAAGCACTCACTCGTATGCATGTTCAACTTCTTGCTTTCCTGTTGCCATAGGCTGGTAATCTTTGAACCACTCACACACCGTTAAAGGGATCTGCATATGTAGTGCAAGAAGAGTATCGGATAACTATGAATTTGAAATAATTGTTTCAGATGTAAAAAGACTTACTTTTTGAACTTTCTTTTCAAATATATCGAACTTATTCAGAAACAGCATGAAAGATGTTTTCTGCTCCAAGGAAACTGACAGTAATTAGAGAAGAATGACAAGTCATTAAATTCTATAGCTAGAAACAATGGATTGTTAGATGAAACATAGGGAAACCTCAAAGCATGTTTGCTTCAGAACCCATTCAAATAGTTCCTTAGTTTCCATCATCCTGTTCTTTGCGTCATCCTCACAAAGAGCCTGATCATACCTGCACATTGAAGGTGATTAAGTTTTAGAGATACGAGTATATGAGGAAAGTACTTGGAAGGTTGATACACAGAAATAATGCCCCTTCATTGAGGATTTTGGGAGAGAATTAATCAGCTAAGATTACAGAGAAGAAAAACTGAAAGTGCGAAATTTATAGAATATGTAAAGAACAATGGCTTACTCGCTTATTGCAACACAAAATATAACTGCTTTAACACCTTCAAATAGATGAATCCATTTCCTTCTCTCATTTCTCTGGCCTCCGACATCATATAGTCGATATACTTCACCACTTTTTCTGCTCTCTCCTACAGGACTGAAGATTTAAAAAACACTTGTCTCCATAAATTGTATAATGCAACAACATGAAACAGATAAGCATGCATCCATTAGATGTTATTGGATTGATTTAAATGGTGGATTGCTCAGTCATATAGCAGGAAAGAACTTTGAAAGTCATAAGCCAATATCAAAGGAAAAGCACAGCTAATAGTAGATGATGGTAACTATCTAAGTTTCTCTAGATTAAATGAAGCACAACCAAGTGCTAACACAATAAGTATATGAAATAAAATCATAAGCCACAGCAAAATCTAGAAAAGAATTAAGCTTTTTGCCTATTAATGAGGAAGCCCTATGTTATGTATTTTCTACACAAGTGGGAGAAAGATCAAGATTTTCTGTTCAAACTCAGTACAGCCAACACAAAAAATTGAATTAACAACTTCATAAACATAGATAATGAACAATCAACAGCTTGGTAAAAATAATTGCAGATTCCAGAATGGAATAAAATAAAGCCTGAGTTTTAACAAAAAAAATTTACCTGAACTGAATTTCTACCACACCAGTTGTTCGCACTCTAGCATAAAGAACATCCTCCTGCAAAATCCACAAAGCAAAAAAGATATATACATGCTCATCAAATTAGACTTGTCCTTTAATATAAAAAATGTACTTTCATTCATTGCAAACAAATCCTCTGATGGAACTTGGCATTTGGCAATGAAATTAAGGGGAGGGGCAGAAAATAAGTCAAAAAGATATTTGATTTTGAGAACAGAACAAAAAAGCTAGCCGAGGGCCTAAGCGGGCCAGTCCATAGAATCCAGTCAGTGACTGCCTGAACATTCCTAGGTTTGGCAAGGCTGAAAAGTGGCCCAGTTAAATTTTGGGCTGACTATGGGCACCTGCTGCCTGCCCACAGATCAGCCTGAGGCCTGCTATATTATATCATTTTTGTTAATTGTAATGTTATTTTGTACGGTGTTCCCACAATTGTCAGATTATTGGTCGTGTTGAGCCAAAAAAGATGTCCTGCAATGGCTCCATCATGACATGTTGCTCTCCATGTCCCTCCCCCCCCCCCCAAAAAAAAAAAAAAACAAACAAAAACAAAAAACAAAACAAAAACAAAAAACAAAAAAACAAAAAAACAAAAAAACAAAAAAAAGGTTCGTCAATTGACCCCCAAGTTAACTCTATCAGGTCTGTGTTCGCGTGTAAAAATCATGTGCGATCATTATGACTTAAATACCCCTAATAGAAGAAGAAAAACTAATGAGTGTCCCTTCTAGTACGCTGGCACTAAAACCCCTTTTCCCTCCTTTCTTCTCATTTTTGCCCAGGTCGAGGCCGAGCGGATGGTGGGGCAGTGGGGTTGAGGGAGAAGAGGGAGAGGGAGTTGAAGGTGGACATGGTAGAAGAGAGGTAATTGGAACTTGGAAGTCAAGGGATTGGGGACTTTGGGCTCATTTGACTGGAGTTGTTGGGTTTTGGGCTTGTTTATTTGGAGTTTTTAAGGGGTTTGGGATAGGTTCCAATGGGTTAGGGTTGAGATAATTGAGTCTGTTTGAGGAGGGAGAGGGTATTTTTGTGACTTTGTCCATGCATAATTGAGGGTACCGCTGTTTCTTTTTTTTCTCCTGGGGGAAGGGGGGCGTCTAGTTGCAAAAAATTGAAAACATTTGGAGGGTTTGTGACAAATCCCAGGAAAGGCATTACAAATGGGAGCTATAGCACAATTCCAAGTTTCGTATGAGCATACAGATTTGCAGAGGAAGAAACTAATGGCAGATTTTATACCTTTGTTGGAACATAATCCACTTCAGATAAACGTTTCAAATTCTCCATGAAATATTGAGCACAATCGGGAACTTGTAGTACATTTCCACGAGAATAAGTTTCCTGTAGTAATGATCACCAATAAAATTCAAGAGTGATTGCTTAGTTGTATACCCTAAATTTGCAGCTGCAGGGAAAAGGTAATAATATGTCTTGCCAGTCAAAAACTTTTTACACAAAAAAATAAAAAATAAAAGGATGCAACATGACTTGGTTAGAAAGGTCAATAGAAAGGCTTGAACACGACAAGAGGGCTCACAGGTCCAAGAGAGGGATGCAAAGATAAGAAGAATTTTCTTCAGAAAAAAGGAGGAAAGTGAAACTTGACTTTTATCTCAAAAAATGTTAGAAGGCTTGAGATCAATACTGAAGAAGATAACTACAAATGCCAGTGTCAATCTCACATAACAATGTACAATTTATGAATTTACCTGAATAGCAGCATCATTCCATAAGATCTCAATCTCATGTTCAAGGTCTTTAGTCAGAATAGGATATTCCATCCTGCTACCAATCTCAGACAGTTTTTCTCCAATTTCCTAGTACAAGGGAATTTTGTTGATATCATATACTCAAGATTTTAACATAATTGGTTTTGTAACTTGGAAATTTAATTTTATATAAACAACAAAAACATATATGGGGTCTTATAGTCAGCCTTGAATTGTTAACAAAAGTTAGAGGAAACAAATATAGACCTCTGGATCCCAATGCTACAAACAGATACACTCAGCAAAATTTCTTTTTTTTTCTCTTGAAGACAGAGATCCATATGTAAGTGCATGTTACATGTCTAGGACTGTTTGTGCACAGACACACAAATGTAGGGCACACGCCCAAGCACACATAATAAAATAGATTTCAGAATGAAGAACAGCATTAACAAACCTTGTTAGTAGGAGATACAACATACTTTGAGGAATCTGAATCATTTTGTGCCAATTCCTTTGCTCCATCATATAGTATCTGATCAATTCAATCACATTAGGCAGGGGGGGGGGGGAGAGGGAGAGAGTTGTTATTTGTCTGTTCAGAATAAATAAATAAACAAATAAAACAAACAACACAAAGCCCTCACCCTAAATTATTGGGTCCGCTACTAAATAAATAAATAATATGTAAGAGTAACCATCTCTTTCCAAGTGTATAAGACTAAAGCCCTTTTTTTATAAAAGAAACATACAGACACACCCTTTTCAGTATAGCGTACTTTAATTGTCTGATACACATTGGCATGAATGACTGATGTATAACTACGAAGTTCAGCCTCATCGAAGCCCGTTTGAAAGAGAAGCTTTATCTGAACATAAACAAAGCAAAGAAGACGTTAGGATTGAATGTAAAGCGCAACTTATAATAATGAACCAGTCCATCTTACCTGCTTAAAAATTGTTGATTTTCCTGATTCTCCAGCACCTACAGACCAACAAAAAGACGTTCACAATGGAAGTAGAAAGAAACAAATATATCAAAAAGTATTAGGTATTGAAGAATACAGTAGAATGTAAAAATAGAGGGGGAAAACAGTCTTGAATATGTTTCTACATATGCGCGCATGCGTAGGTTACCCAGACACTTCAACTAGGCTTCCGCATCCATGTCCGATGCTTCCTGTATCCGTGTCCGTGTCGGACACTCCTTGGACACTTCTTGAATATGTAAATACATTTAGTCAGACATATATTCAATCATACAACACATGTTTTAGTTTAAAGAACTCGTGATACACTTCTTGAAGTCCTACGCTTCACCTCAAATTTATGCAACTCATTGGACTCAGGATAGGTTTGTTTTACAAGTATATAGCTGTGTCCCTGTATGATTGCATCCGAAATTTTACAAGTTTGTCGTGTCCCATATCCGCACCCATGTCCATGACCACACCCACACCCATATCCATGCAATATAGGCCACATGCTATACAACATAAAGGGTTATATTAGACAATACCTACACATAGAGATGACACTTTCTCGGTGAAAAGAGTCTACAGATACATGTTGCAGACAGCTAAAAATGAAAGTAAAGGATAAGCGTAAAGCACCAGCTAGAACTGAGATTCTATTTTATACTGAAGGGAAGTTTCTCATGCAGCTGTGCATTTGTGTTGTAGCATGTCAACTTCTTTCTTGATGAGTTATCTAAGTACATATAGTGGCTTCATCTCTTGAAATATGACATTAACCATGTCAGTTGATGGCACTATGATGGCCACATATAATCACTCGAAACACCACTATGGAACAGTTTTAAAGTTTATATGATTATTTTTAAGGGTATTCACAAGTGAGTGTTTTCAATGTCACCAAGACTATCAATGTTGCTAAGACAACAACAAAATAAAAATAAAATAAAATAATGAAAGGCAATTAAACCAATTTGACCACATCAAGAGTTCAAGGCAATCCACAAACAAAAATGAAAGGGAATAAAATGGAAAGACCACCAACCAAGGGAAAAGACAGAAGATGGGAAAAGGATAATTTTGACTGAATAACAAAGAAAGTAGGTACATAAGCGAAACACTGAAAAGGGACATGAAAAAAAAGGAGGTCAAAATGAACATGACACAAAATAAGAACTTCAATCATAGCTTCTGTCTGTAAGCCGGCTGCTGAGGTGAGGTAGATGACAGGTCATATATGTCTAAAGTATTTGTTTCTGCTTGATTTACCACATGACGAAGGAAAAATTGCATCGAAATAGTTACCTCCATTTTAGTTTTACCATAAATATTTTTTATTGAAACATTGTTAAATGTCAAATAAAATAGGGGAAAAAACTTTAGATGAGCAATACCTAGCAGTAAGAGTTTATGGATGTGTTGCTCAGCCTTTGTTTCTTGCGCAATCCGTCTCTCTATTTCTGCAGCCTGAAAATGCTTAAACAAGTTATACCTCAGATCTACCTGTGCACCATATTTCGAGATATATTTATGTTCACCAAGTGCATAACAAGCAGGCCAAACATGCATGCTAAAACTAAAATTTTAATGCTTGATGTCACTCATAGCAAAAAGAAAAAGAAAAAAGAAAAAAACACTTTTACCTGATCATTTTCTGCAACATGAGCCTCGTTTAAAGGTTTTGGCCTGCTGCACAGCAAACCCATGCTTTCTAATATAGTGGGAGGCATGGAAAAGATAAATATTTGTGTTTCATCGATTGGATGCAAGGAGCTTCTGATAAAGGACAATTTCACTATGAGAAGAACCCAGCGACTCGATATTACCTATCTGGAAGTTAAAATATGTCAGATTTATTACAGCCAAAAATTTTACAGTGTAAACGAACAGAACAATTTCAAACTGAGGGTTAATGAAAAATGTTCTATGAGATGGTATCAAATTCATCATTATTTTCGTTTGAACAATCCAAGGCATTGGAGAAGATAATTCAAAGATAGGTTTTTTTTAAAATTTAAATCATGAGTGTTGATAACCATTTTCGCCTCGCAAACTAATTGCTTAAGCTTTTGAATAAAGTCATTCACAAATATGTCATAAAAATATGAATAAAAGATCCTAGACGCAAACCACCTATAAGTATATTAAAACCACTTTGCCCAAAAGGTTAAGCTTTTAGATTAACAAAGTAAATTAACACTCAAAACTCCCACTTACAAGGAAGAAAGCCACACAATGCTCCATAGTGGGGAGCGAAACACATGAAGGGGGTTTTCTTTTTTTCTCTTTAATAAATGGACAGGATAGGATTAGAATGCAAAATCTTTTTACTCCCGTGTGTTGCATTACCACATTGTTAGAATATGAAACAACAATGCTCAACCTTTGTAATGCTTAGGGACTTTTACACACATCAATGTCCCAAAACCCCAAGAACCTAACCTTTGAAGCTGTGCTTTTCTCCAGTTTGCCGAATTGAACTATTTTCGGAATAAAAAAATGAAGAGAGCTGTCTACATTCTAATGACTGCAAAGCTACTGATACTTAATTTCAACAACCAAATGAACGAAATCGACGCCTAATTTAACAAGTTTCTCCGGTAGCAAAAGTTTCTGGATCAGTACCGCGACAAACAGCAAGTTAATCTAACAAAGGATTAAGCTGTTTGTACTGAAGCTGACACTACAACATCACCACCCCCAGCGACTAAAAGTTTTCAACTTTCGCCTTCTCCAATTGCGTAACACTCCCATGAAATTAAGTATCAGTAGCTTTGCAGCATTGTAACTGTTTAACAATCGAGTGAACAGTGAAATCGGCTGTGGAATTTCAGTTGAACAAGTAAGCAATTGACAGCATAAACAACAGGGTATGTGTGATGAAATTGAAGGGGAAATAACGGAAAGGATCGAGAAAGCGAGATCCCCAGCTCGTTGCATTCCCCCTCGGTAATCGCCAAGGGAAAAAAAAACTAATGCGGGTCATTTTTCTAAAATCGAAGAATCGATCGGGTCGAGGTCGACGAGATCTAGGGATATCGAGGTGGAGGCGGTACCTGAGCGAGAGTCGGCTGCGGCGATCGTAGCTAGGGTTTCGAGTGATGACGAGGGGCGAGTGAAGGAGGCGGATCTGAGAGAGGTAATCAATGGCGTCGTGGCGAGGGGGTGGAGAGAGAAAAAGGGGATGAGTAAGAGAGAGAGAGAGAGAGAGAGAGAGAGAGAGGAAGACAACGACGGAGGAGGAGACGGTCAAACGAAAAGAGTGAGACCGAAGACCACTGATGAGTGATGATGAGAGTACGGTCCGGGGAAAGCGTCACGAGCTCGAAATTTTTTTTAGGTGAAATTGCTTCTAGCCCCCCCTTTCCTTACAATTTTTCCGCCCTCCTCCCAAGAGTTTTTCAACGTTCTCAGACCCCCAAAACCAAAGCTATAATTTTCTAAGCTCCCAAAATACAAAACCCAAGAGTTAAAAATATGTAAAAAATATAATACATTTTCTCTTTTTTTTTATGATGTTACTGTGATGATTTAAAATGGGTTT